ATATTAAACAAACACTTTTTGATCTATGACGTATTGTTGATGGAAGAGATAATGATTTATATACTTTATCAATACCATTTGTTAAAATTGTTTCATTTTCTTTATGTTTTGAGAAATTGGAATATGTTTATCAATTTGAGAATTTTCATTATCAAATATTTGTTGTTTAACTTGATAAGATATTGGAAATATATCTTTCTTTATAGGATGATTTAAAATACATTTAAATCCATTCATATTAATTTGTTCAATAAGAATATCTATTGTTGCAGTTGTTGGAAATAAGAAATTTGGATAAATAAGAAATACATGTGTTTGTGTTTTAAAATGAATTTGATAGAATCGTTTGTTTGTAGTTGAATTAATTATTTTAGTATTTAAAATTTCAATTAATTCAATATGTTCTACTTTTAAAATATATTCAAATTCTCCTAAATTTTCTGTTGAATTTGTTTGTAAATTTAATGTTGGTATGTATTTTAATGTAATAATCCCATCAATTGAACATAACTCTAATTTCCCTTCAATTAAATAATCATTATTCATAATACAAATATTTGAAAACATAAATAATGTTTTTTCTAATGGAGGTGTTGTTGTTGTAGAATATGAATTTTTAAATATTATTTTACTTAATTTTGATTCTCCTTTGTAACTATTTGATAAGGTTTTCATTTTAACTGAAATTGTTTTGATTTTATTTTTATAAAGTTCTTTTTTTTCAAATTTCAATGAATTCTTTGAACAGATAGATTGAAAATTCATTCTCAATAAATAATACTTTTGTTGTCTTAAAGAAAAAAAAATCAATTTAATTACACAATCAAATATTTTCTTCAACAACTTCAAAATAAAAAAAAACCATTTTGTCAGTTATATTGGTTGTTATTCTATTCCAGAATACAACTACTGTTTATAAAACAACTTCTTCAGAATATCATTAAAACTGATGGATTCTTTCATAAAACATATTATACTCAATTCAATAGAATATATACAGAATTCTTCTTAATACAAAACACTCAAAAAAAAAACAATATATCTTCCTATGAAAATAAGATAATTGAATAATAAATAAAATGGAAGAAAACAATGAATAAAATAAATTTATGACATTAGAATCATATAAATATTAGATACTTAGATTTACCAAAAAAATATATTAATTGAATAATTTAATATTAATGTGTTCAATAAAAAGAAATGTACTTTAAAAGTAATTGAATA